ACGTAGAGACTGCGTCTTTCAAACCGCCAACAGGGGTTCGACAGGGATGCATCCTGTCTCCCCTTCTGTTAAATATTTATGGTGAATATATGATGAGGGTAGCGCTGGAAGATGGGGATGGAGATATTTCTATTGGAGGCAACAAAATCAGCAACCTCCAATACGCAGATGATTAGTATCTAGGTCGTAGCCATCGTTTTCAATATAAGCTCAAAGCTATGTTCATCTTCCGTAAGATGCATGTACTAAACCTATCTCTTGAATCGAACTCAATCAAGATCCTATTGATATATCGTAGAAATTGCCGTGTACTTAATTATTCTATACTAATTAAATAAAATATAAATTTTAAGAATGTTTTCTGTATAATCCGGTCTAGCTGGTTGAAGATGGCGTACCTGTTATTGTTTTGAAAACACGTTTCTGCAATAATCTTTAAATACTTGATACAACTAAGTAAGGTTGGATTTGGAAGGATATATTCGGATGTTGCGTTTTAAGTAATATTCTAATTTTTGATTCTTTTCGAAATAATTCACTAGATATATTATTATTGATATTTATGTTGTAAAACATCCTATTGTGTGACGGACATATTTCTGTTTCTGTTCCATCAACTTTTATTTTGTAAGGATGAGATCAGCCATCACGTTAATAATTTATAAGTTTAGTTTACATACATAGTGCTTTTATCTAAATTATTATCAATACTAAAAAGTTGAAAATAAACATTTTCCGCTAAAAGTGTTGCGATCATTCAGAAGCCGGTCCTTCGAGGTCCTTGTCTCTTCGTTAAAACCCAAGTCAAGCAATAAAACATGTATGTTTTATTTGTTTAATTTATTGCACAAAAAGAATTCATAAAATAACAATAGAGCAGAAACCATTAAGAATGAAAATACAAAGGAAAAAAATGGTAAGAATGTGCAAGAAGTGCGGAAAATTTAAACATCAAAATCAATATGTTGTACAAAATAATACAATGACTATAAATAGCACTATAATATGTATATTGTCAAAACTAGAATTTACCTTTCCTTATAATCATGGTAACTGGCATTCTCGAAAAACAGTGTTTATAAAAGAATTTCGTAATGCATAGCTCGCGCAGCAAGTGAGAGATTATGCAATGGTTAAACATGGACATGACAAGGTTATTGACGTGATGTAAAATGCAGGTTTATATGTTTTCTGTTCCTTCATAAAAAACTTGAAATAAGAGAATATTGTACAAATTGTTTACTTATATATAAAGTACTGTAATATACCACATTTTTTGTTTGTACCAATTATCAGCATGTGTATAAAACGGCTGAAATCGTCATCGTTTGTAAAATACTGTCGACTTAAGACCTCCTTCGGCTTTTTAATGATTAAAAATAAAAACCTTCGATTTTTTAATTCGTGCAACAAATTAGTCTATTTCATTGTCAATGTGAATCATTTAGTATGAATTACGATGCCATCTCAAATTATTACATAAACGTGTCGGTGATGACCTTGTTTGCTAACCTTAGCGTTTGTATTGTTGGATCATTTTTATTATACTTTTGACAATCTATTATTATAGAAGGTATCTTATTCTCACGAAATTATATGGTAGATGTTAATGATTTGTTATTTAAAATATTAGAATAGGTTAGAATAAAATGTTATACTGTTCATAGAAATCTAAATCAGTCCAATTGGACCGTTTAAACTACAGAACTCAGCCAACTCTTTTTATCGCAGCGTAAAGAGAATGTGACAGAAAGAGTACGTTAGTTAATGATTTAGTTATAATAATAATAAATAATTATTTGCAAAAAAGTGGTGCATTTAGATCGATTAATTATATATACATATTACATATTAATTTTCATAATGTCATATAATAAGAACATTAACATAATGTCATTATAATAAGTTGAGTTATTTATAATTTTTATGAATAACGGGTCGGCTTTTAAACCAAAATCTTCGAAATATACACTTCGAGATTAGAATAAATTCGAAAATCGAATGTGTCAGACGTCTTTACATATTTAAATCCCTCTAATGTTCAAAAAACTATTTTTATCACAATTATAGTTCAGTATCTTCATATACCAAACAATAGACACTTATATCCTTCAAGTAAATTAAGTAAATATAACAGCATTGTTGCGAAACTTTTAATTAAAATCGCCAATTATTTTACACAATATTGTACGTTGCGACATTTATATTTTATTGATTGTATATCAATAGAACGGAGAGGATACCAGCAATAGCAACGTTACGAAAATTATTTTGCCACAAGACGATTTCGTATTTGCATCATGATACATATAGTACGAGCTAATAAAAATAATTGAATAAATACAGTGTTAACTCTTTATAACGAATTTCAAGGGACCGAGCATGTTTATTCGTTATAGAGAGCTTTCGTTATAGGGAATGAATTAATGTGTGGCTATTGGGTTAAGCCAAATAAATTTAACTAAGTTTTACGTTATAGAGAGTATTCTTCGTTATAAGGAATGCCGTTATAAAGAGTTTACACTGTACAATAAAAGCGTTATATTTTTGAAGTGATACTTTTTTAGTCGTGTTAAAGAATCTTGTGAGATTAAAGGCCAACCAATTTTCTGTTATATTCGTATGCCAACAATTTTGAATGACCATAATGACATTGTCATTTTTTTTAAACAAATAAAGGAGTTTTAATTATTTTTTCAAAGAAATTAGCGGATGTTTTTGAATTATAATCAGAAGTGATTTAAATTGAATATTTAAACACAATACTAATTAATATTTGTGGAAAAACTGTGCTCATCAACCTTCCTAAGTGCTTCAATACAATTGAGGTTAACTATCCGTATGTATTATTATTATTATCGAGTAATGTTTTGATTAAAAAATTAACCACATTGTTTAATCAAAACATGTTTCTGATTTTATCTAGCAAATATAAGGAAAAGAGACAAAAAACAATTATGAATCAGTGTAACTGCACTAAATTGAATACAAAAAAGAGTTTTCATCTTATCGCTGTGAAACATCAAAAACTGGAGGTGGAACAAAGCCAAACTATTTTGTAAAAAGTATAACTTCTTACGCGCGTACATAAGTACAGGGACCCTCTTTTTTGATTTAGTCAAAGTCTTGTGCGATTAAAGGCCACCAATTTTCTGTTATATTTATTTGAGCAAGGTCATTTTTAAATAATAATAACTTTTACGAAAGAAAAGCTTTATATAAGTTTAAACACAAATAATGGCTAATATTGCTTGTGTAATGCCGTCCATTTAGGTAGGTCATTTCCGCCCGTAGGTTAAAAGTTACGAGAACTTTCTTCAATAACTGCAAGCAAAATTTCACTAACATAATGTTGTACATATACAAATTTCGACATACTAGAAAATTATTGTCCATTACTAAGGGTTTTGTATTATAAATGTCTTGCATATTAACTATTTTAATATCTGTAAAAATATTAAAATTGACACGTTGTTGACACGTTGTTAGAAAATGTTAGACCATAAAGACAAAAGTTATTGGAGACTAGTAGTAGGGTGGACTCAGTGTCCGCACTTGGACACAAATTTGTCCATTCTGGCTAATTGAGCCAGCCTAGCTCTTTCCAGAAGCTTCCGCTATCATCTCAATGCTTCGAGTAGTTCTTCTCGTTGAGAAGCCACAGCCACGTAATCAAGGACTACGTGGGTGACTGATTCCTCTGCGTATTGACTATTAAACGCCTTGTCAATTTTGAAACAGTTCCTATTTAACTTTATTCAAATATTGTATATCTTTCGAATATTGTACCAGTGTCGTTTGATTCTCAACATTTAGATTCACATGTAGTCAAAGTCAATAAATCGTGTTTGTTTAATCATACTGTAGACTTTTCGTCATTTATAACTACTTCTTAAACCCGATGTTGTAATTCCTTTTGTTTGAAACGCTGTTGGTTCGGGTGCACCTTATATCTAACATTTAAGTGGTCAGTCAAGTGAAAGTAGCTCTGAATGAACTTTCCATATCATCGCAGAGATTTGCTGGCCTATTAAGGCCTTAGAATTACAAGTAAACTTTAAGATAACGTAGTTATTTGTATAGTGCTCAAAATATTATTATTAGTGCTTATAATACATTTAATAAACCCAAATAAGTTGAGCACGTACAACTATGAAATAAATAGTAAATAAAACGACCTATTTTTTTTTAAATTATGTATTCTCAAATAATATTTTCCGGTAGTATCCATAGAAGCTACATATTTTTTTATTAAAAACGGAAGTATTTTTACAATAACAAGATGAAATTAGATGATTTAATAAAAATTTGCATACCTCCGCATTTACCTACCTATTTAACCAGAAATGTAATTTGAAAATTAAACACGATACACAAAAAGCTAATGATTTATGGTGAAACTACAAGTGACTCATACTAAAGACATCAACGCGCTATAGGTCTACGAATGAATACAGTTGAGTTTTGAGAATTTGATAATGCATAGTTATATGCAATGAAGGATAAAATAAGCCTGTTTCTTGTATAATTGATTATTTGAAGACTAAACTAGTATGATTGAATTTAATTTCACCGGTTTAAAAATTTAAATTTTAAAATTTATTAGTTTAGTTTTAAGTTTTTTAAATTATTTAAAATTTAATAGTTTAGTTATATATATAATTAAGAAATATTTAAAGTATAGGAACATATAATGCATGAATATACTTTGTCTACGTATACTTGTACTTCATGACCTCAAAAATTTAAATACATATATTAATAATTTGGTATCTTTGATTCTACTTAAGAAAAATAAAAAATACATTTATTTTTTATTTTTCTTTGTTTATGTTATTGCTACAGTGGGTTGAAATATATCTTTAAGGTATTGGTACTTTTTTTTTAATTTGAAGTTCTTTACTTATAAACAAATACAAATTATCTGTCTCTGCCTCAAGTCCTACGTACAAGCAGAATATGATGTGCGAAGTATTTAAGAAATTGGTCATATGTTTCAGGAAAACCGGGAATTGATTATCCGTTGCTAGGCGCAGTGCCGTATACAAACTTCTATTGTGATGAACAAGCATACCCCGGATTCTTTGCTGATATGGATACACGGTGCCAAGGTGGGTACAATCAAAAGGTTTTATCGGTAAATCAACTTTTTAATTATACATGAAATCTTATGTATTATTAATATTAGTTGTTTTTATGAGGCATGTGGTAGATTCATTCCTTAGTGGGCGATGAATTCTATGTATCGTGTGAAACAATTAATCCAATACTAGACCTTCATAAGCTTTTATCGTAAAACGTGAACTAGAGTTGGTACCGTGTTTGTAACCATGGTGACCATTTTTTCCACGTAAAATATACAGGTTTATAATAAGGCCCAATGTGAACTTATGAAAATTCATAACAGTCTTATGACTTCATGATTTTGAAGTTCGAAATAATGATATTATATTTTAAGTAATAAAAATAACTTCCATACACCTTAATCTCTATACAATACGTAACGAAAGACTGTGAGAATAATTTTCAGTGTGACCTTGACATTTCTTAATGGTTAAGTTAGATTACGTTCAGAACCGAATCAAAACGGTAACGCCTATACGTAACATGATTAATTACGTTTTTAGTAATTGCTAATGGGATTTTGTGTATGGCCTCGTAGTAGCAAAAATATGACGTGAAAGGAAATTATCAATAAAAAATATTTGAGTGGACTTTGTTGGAGCTATTTACAGTTTAAGGCTATGTTCACTTGTAACCGTTAACCGTCAAGGCGATCAAATTTGAAGACTTAGATGATGAGCTAATTGCGAGAGTACTCGTCATCTAGTTCTAAACGTAGAAAATACTGGAAGAGGCTATTATTTTGTGGTTATATTATAAAGAAAAATATAGAAAAAGAAAACGTACACATTGGTTCATCCAATTTTAAAAAAAATACAAATTATATTATATTTTTATACAAATTTGCTATATTCCAACTTGCTGGCCTTTTTTCTACTTCATATTATAAGTGATTCAATATCTTCAATTTCACTCATTTTAAATGCGAGAACAAAATATAATTACGAAAATTAACAAAATTACATGCGATCGCGATGAAAGCGCGCGCCCATCTGAACAGCAAACGGACATTACATTAATATCAAGCTCAACGCGCGATCACCTGCGTCTAGAGACTTTTTCTCTGAGCCCGCTTACCGCCTCATGTGAACAGTTGTATGAAAATACCACAATGTCTAGTCGCGCGATTTGAAAAGCTCAAGTTTTTGCCATCTGAACATAGCCTTAAAATGATTTATGTAAATAGCCCGAATATAATAAGTATGAGAGAGCGATTTTTAAAATGCAATCGTCAAAAGATATTTAAAAATCATAATATAATTGTTTATTTAGTTAGTAAACTTGATGAATGTATGAGAAAAGTGTTCTTTAGCTAGCTAGCTTTAATTTATTCTTAGTTTTTTAACGAGTAAACTCATTACACACATTATGAACTATTTAAACCAAAATGACCCAGAAACGAGTGTTGAACTTGATTCGTAAATAAATGCAATCATAATTTACGGATCAAGATCGAAACATTTTAATTTTTGTAAAACAAATGGGTAAAGATATACTATATTATAGAAGGCCCCCGATCACCTGTATGAATCGATACGGATTTTATACTGTTTTCAGAAAAGAGATTAGGAAGGTATTAGATTATATAAGGAATATTGATTACGGTTTTATATAAATTGACAGCGAATATTGTTAAAGAGGTCGTACAATCTCACCAAAATACACAAAATTCTGACTATATTGATTTTAATTTTGACCTCGTTCGTATTCATAATAGGATGCTTTAAGGTCATCTAATTATATTTAACAAAAAAATAACAATAGTTGCATGTCGTGATATCCTGGTTGTCATAATTTTCAAACTTTAAAAAAACCCATTAATCGATTTTTTATATTAAAGCTTTGTCTGCATATTACATAAAATTAAAATTGATAATCTTCGTCTAAATACTTACATTTTGTCCCACTAGCAATATTGATATTTTTTCTTCATAGGAAAAAAGCTGATCGTTTACTTGCCTATTAAGAACAATCAATTATCACGAAACAGATGCATCTGAGGCCCAGACTTAAATAGGAGGTTGCTAAATTACTTAAGTTTTTTACATTTTTGGGTCTAAGGTATTCCGGTGTCCTTACGAAGTTGTTTAGCGTACTAAATAAATAAAAAATAAATCGGTGGTGCTACAACCTTTTTAGGTCTGGGGCTCAGATTTTTGTATCTGTTTCATGATCATTTATCAATCTAATAGGCAAGAAGGTGATCAGCCTCCTGTGCCTGACACACGACGTCGACTTTTTGGGTCTCGTTTGGTTTAGGGCAAGCCTGTTTCTTTACGATGTTTTCCTTCACTGAGCGAACGTTAAATGCGCACATAGCCGAGGATTGAACCTACGACTCAGGGATGTGAGTCACACGCTGAAACCACTAAGTCAACACTGCTCTAGCCAACACTGTATTAGCTAGTGTTAATTGGGCATATAGAAAGATCTGTTGCTGCTCCCTGAACATACATTTTCCACTAGGCTTAAAAATGGTTATAAATACTGATCAAATGTAAGAGACGAAATATCAACGAACTTAACAAAATACTCTAATGCTTCATATATAATCTTAGACAGAGTTACTAAATCTCATGGAGTATTTACCACATTAATTAGTAACCATTTTAATGTAGGTTAAATTCCATAAAACCATGTAATATTATTTTTTACAAACATTTTTCTATTTAGCAATAGAACTAGTTAAATGAGAACACTTATGTGTATATTATATCGCAAATAATCAATTATATTTTATCTTTTATAGCGTTATAGGCGATTTCGTTAATTAGACTTCCTGTTTGAGATGTTGTCGATTGGATTTTTGATATTCGTGAAATTTACCATGATAATTGCTCAAGGTTATTACAACATTTAGATTATTAACATCTTAAACCTTCATATTGAATATTCGATGTTAATAGAAAATTGTTCTGATGCGTTTAAAAAACTAAATTTTATATGTTTTGTAAGAAATCGTTAGTAATTACTGATATTTGTACTTACTGTTAACCCGTTCACTATTAATTAAACTATTCAATTTGTAAATTAATGATTCATTTCATTTAACGCCGAAAAATTTACGTCCGTTATTTTCTAGGTGTTCTATTAACGGCAATTCAGGCTGTAAGTACTAACAATTTTTTTGAAAACCAATCTTCCAGCGTAACACCACCACCCGCCCTATCACCCGATTTCGGCTTCATTTTTATTAATGGGACACCAGTATATTTTAGCATCCAGTTTATCTATACAACTCTATTCGTTCTTGGTAGGATGTTTACTAAGCAGATAAATAGGAATTTGGACCTTTAAATCATGCGGATAAAATCGACTAACATTGCAAAGATTTTATTTTTAGGAACTCGACGGGCCTGCATTTTTCTTGCAAATAAATTTGAAAGATGACCCTTGGTTTTCTATAAAATATCCCGAGTTGATTTTCCGTTTTTTTAAGTGTAATTTTTAAAAATTTAAAATGTATAATTTATATTCACAGCGTGGCACTATTGCGATATAGATGGGCGGCAGGCATCCTTCCTCTGTCCCAACGGGACGGTGTTTTCACAAGGGGTCGCATCTTGTGATTGGTGGTTCAACGTGAGATGTGCCCTCTCTCCAGCCCTGTACCCTCTCAATGCCCGACTCTACAGACGCAGGAAAAAGCAAAGAAAACCTAAACCGCACAGAGTGATCGACAAGAAGCTTATTGACGAAATATTTTTATAAGTCTAGTCATAGTTCATTAAGTTGAAACAAATTGAATAGATAATAATTAAACTGGTGTTTTATTTGAAAAATTACCTTTACGATGCAGGTACTACGTCTTTTATAATCATAATTTATTTGACCGATTGTGATCTCGATATTCGGATTTTGCGTTGTGGTGGTGAAATCATGCATGTATTTGTATAAGAAAAACCTAATAAAAACGCCTTCTGGTACCTGAATAGCTCTGAAAGGTGAGAATATAAACCGGTAGCATCATTGCATTTGTCTGTGATTTGCCAAATGGATGAAATAAAATAACATATTTTGTCGCGTATCGGACTAATAATACTGTTGGCCAATCACAATCGAACGTTCCCTCTTTAAATTCAAACACCTGAGGCCTTAAGGTCGGGAACGATACTAAACAAATCCCTGAAACTTTATCGCCCTTATTATAAAAGAAGCATTAAAGTTAGTACGGCTTTCTTACCATTCATTTTGTAAAGAAACAACATCGTAACCATGATAAAAAATACGGTAATTTAGTCCACGTTTCCTAATAAGGTCAAATAAGATTATTACACTTAGTCAAATAAGAAGAAATTCAATATTAAGTTCCGAAATAATATAAAGTTTTCGTACAATGTACGTACACTCAATCACATGCACCCACATACTTACTCATTCACTAACATGCACCACACTCACTCATGCACACAGGCGTGTTGAAAACAGTTGAAAAAAACAAATGAAGTTAAAAAAAGGTTTAATTAAACTATGTATTTTTATGGAATACTGGGAACCCTATATAAGTTTGTTACTTAAAAGGGTTCCCAAATCTTACACATTACACATTATAATGTAACTCCAAGTTGCGTTAAGTTATGTTAATAGTAAGACCCCAATAGGTTTTTACAGAGAAACAAGGCCTTAAAAGAAGAACGAATATCGTGAATAGGAGTTGGTCTAATAATCTCTTTAGCCTATTTATTTCATATATAGACCCAATAATTATACACTACTTACCAATAAAAAAGCCGAACAAGCATATGAACCTTAACAGAGCAATTCTTCATTTATTTGTATCAATGTTTCACGTTCAAATACACAACCTTGAGATAGTACCTAATGGTGTGAAGGATAAAATTTAAAGTAGAGCTTTCATTTAGCGCTTCGGTAACCTGGCAATGAAGAAGTAACAAATAAGGTGTTTTCTGGTGCAGGTGTGAATATCGTTTCATAATACGTAAACAATGTTTTGCATTAGTTCAACGCAAAATGGTTATTGCTTCTCTAAAATAGAAAATTGCCTGGTGGTTTAAGCAAAACCCGGAAGCAACTGAAAAGACTATTCTTTGTTTCATTGAAAATTTCCTGGCGGTTTGTGGTAACGAAAGTAAATGCCGGAAATACGCCAAGAATCAAAATATCCTGGGAATATACCCATAATTAACGGACGCGGTCATAAAATTATATCTACCTATATTCATTTTGAAATGACAAGTTGATGCAAAAAGCAATTGATATCATAAAGATCATATTTAAAACATTCTGATTTAATGTTAAATAACTTATTTCTTTCAAGAAAAAGACGAGTTTTACCTGTAATTTCAATAATGATGGTAATCTAAATCATTACGTAAATTTGTCCTATAGGACGTCATAAAATTATTTATACAGACTACTTCCAAGTGAAGTATGGTCAAGCGATTCTATATTATTTTTTTCATACTACGTAGTGAAAATATATTGATCGCTAAGACGACCTACAATCACATTGCCATAATTTTGTGTAAGGTGCTATACTCCATCAACAGATAAAGAAATTCCAATCCTAGTATTGTGGCGGTAACTGTTTTATGGTTTTTACTTTGTATACCATAGCTTACGCAAGTGCAACCTGAAAAGCAGTGTCTAAGACATGTATTTGATTTCTAAACATTGCTACGTTACATACTTCGAATTGTTTTATGTCACTTAATTTCTTTAGTCCCCAGATTCACCTACTTTCAGCCTTTTGTACCTGACACACCGTCGACTTTTTAGGTCTAAGGAATGCCGGTTTGCTCACGATGATTTCCTTACCCTACAAGAGAATGTTAAATGCGCACAGATAGAAAGTTCAGTGCACAGCCGGGGTTCGAATATATGACCTCGGAGATGAGGGTTGAATAAGACGCTGTAGCCACTAGGCCAACACCGCTCGATTTGTTTTATACAAGTATTTATATTTAAAATCACATTATTCCTTTTTTTTATTTATACACACTTTTTGCTTTCCATTTACTGTTCACGACCTGTTTTCTGAAAAATTAACTAAAACCTTTAATAAAACACTATTTTGACCGGATTGGGGAGGTTGTGTATTATTATAAATTTACAACTATTTAACATAATTTAAAATAGTTGGGGAAAATAAAAAAAAAAAATAACTTCAATCCTGGTCAAAAAGTGTTTTATTAAGTAATAAAAGTTATGTTAATCAAAGACAATATTAAGTAAAACCTTTAAGTTATTTTTAACCTTTTTTTTCATTTATGACTAAAGGTTCTGCACCACGCGTTTAATCATCTATTATTTGTTGACAATACGAATTCATAGTTGCATTATCTGCTGATTAATCGTGAGAGAGTCCCTGCAATGGTGATATTTGTAGACAATGTAATTTTTTCTTATTCAACAATGTGTGGTTAAGAAGTTTTCTATATATCTACTTATCTCATATATAAAAATTAAATAAAAAGAAACTAATTCATAAGGGGCAATAAATTAAAATTGAGAATACACCTTTCTTTTCCAGTATCTTCGCCAAATTCAAGGTAACCTTTTACTTGGTAGCTTCATATACGTAATGACTTCACAGTGTATAATTATTATAACAATCATATAGAGTTTAATTGGCTTTGTATCATGCATAATTACAAAACTATATAATATATATGTGTAAATGTGACTTATTCGTTCATTGGCTATAGTCTTTCAGTTATATTCTTATTACCTAAACATAACAAAATATACATTGGTAGGTAAAAGAACGTGCATAATATAAATAAAACATATATCAATATAATAATAATTTATAGGAAAGGGTTATATTTAAGGTTAAATCGAAAATGTTAAAGGACATTTTTTTAAACAAAACAAAAAAAACAAAAATTTTCTTTATTAAGTAAATAGTCTTAAATCTATATTTTAGTACATCCCTTTTAGGTTCAAGAACCTGTGTTAGGGATGAACGCTCTTTCCTATATGTTAATACTTAATCTACTTAACAAAGCAAAACAGTAAAGGTACTTAAATAGTTAATTAATTATATTACATACTTGAAAAACCAAACTACTGGCGATTGTTGATATTAAATCGTAATAACTAAACAAGTGAGGTAGATTGAAATCAATCACACCATCGTCTTTCTTTTAATTATATGAGTGAGGCACGAGTGTAACTGTAGTGCAACTCAGACGAGTGTAGTCCGTATGTCGTGACCAGTGCAGGTTAGTACAGCGTAGCATGTCTCTTATCAGCCGGATGATGCGACCACATTTACAATCCGGAAGTCCATACTATGACGTATACAAAGTTTCCAAGAATTGCAAAAACTCTTCCTTCTCTTACACTACGTCCATACATTTTTCACTTGCATTTGCGGAAAATTTCGGTTGACTCAGCAGCATTACTTACGTGTCAATTATCAAAAATATTTAAAAAAATGTTCTATAAAGTTCTTGCGCAGAGGTAGTAATAATTGAATGATTAAAATTTGTATTGTATCGCATATGCCAGTTTCTATGAAAAGTATAAATACCAAAAAAGTTATAAATAATAACCTCCTTCCTATTTTAAAACCTCCTAGTTTTTAGGCACACATCGCATTAGTGTAATCTAATTTAATTTGAAATCATTTTATTATATACTGCGTATTACCTCCGTCTATTTCATTCAATATATTAGGCAAGATTATGATATTGATTTTTTCGCCACAAGGGAATCCAGTCTAGTACGAGGCAGTAAAAGTATACAATTACTACTACTAATATTTTTCTTATACTTATTAAAAAACACTAAACCAACGCGCAGCTTGATTGATACAATATGTGAAGTGGAAAAGCCTTTCAGTAGGGGCATACAACTGAACTTGGCTCAAAGTTATTCGTAGTGCGAACCGCGCGAAACGCAATCGTCTTTTCGCGTCAGGATATTTACGATTAATTTTAGCGATCTTTCAAACGTATCTTTTTGCCTGAATGTTGGATTTCATAAGTTACTATGGATCGTTGGATGCTAATATTATGCGGTATGTATTTTAATATTTTTTAACAATATTATCCATTAATTTAAATAATTAGTAATTTAGTTATTAATACTAGAACCAAGAGTTCAATATAGTGGAACAGCAATGATAATTAGTGCCTTTATTTGCAATTATGGAATAGTTATTTTTTATAGATTTAAATTTTATTTTAGTTACTAAAAAGTCGTTTATCAGCGATAAGGTTTTTATACAATTTTACTTTTTACTAGCTAGCCTTTCACAGAGTAGCATTATTCAAATATTTGCCTATACTAAATTTCAATTAAATGGATGTTATGTACGAATCTGTTGATTTTAATAAGAGATATATCGATGTTAAGTCATGCTACATGGTCTGATTAATTTATGTAATTTATACCTTAGGACTGCAAACTTACTTATATATTTAGACATAATATATTTAAGTCTGATCTACTTAATATTTAATTTTCCAAATGAGTACAAAATAACGTTATTTGACGCTTATGAATGTTAGTGATTTTTTTAACTCTCGGTTATTTGTAAGACGGATCCACGGCGAGTGAGAAATTAAAATAAACTAGTTTAAATATTGAAATTTTTGTGGCAAATTTTTGGCATGACATTGCTTACGACAGTAATTGATTTTACGGAGGTAACAAAATATATATATAGGAGGTATAATATATATTATAGTTTTTAACAAAGTTTTAGCCAGCAATATTAATTTTACGTTAAAATATAATTT